TTCAAAAGTGACGGAAACTACAAAAGTTATGGTAAGGTCTAAAAAATGAAGAAGAATATATGCGAAACAAACATAATGCTCGTTTTCTCTTTTCTTCATTCTTAGATGAAATCGTTCAAGGAGCATTAGCCGACGATTGTTATCAAAAGATATATCCGGGAATAGCATCCGAAATATTATTGGAAAATTTAATCAAATTTGTGCACGATATCAATAACAGACCAACAGAGGATGGTATTGATCATGGAAAATTATACAAAAAAGCTAATGGACGACAAATCGACTCATCGCGTCGATATTATCNTCACTTCAATATTATCTTGTGAAGGAACCAAATTTAGATGAATTCAATTTGTATGCGAAGATTACTAAAGGAAGAAATTTAGGTAAGCCTTTTGTTTACCATTTTATTTATCTGAAGTTTATTATGATTTGAGAGAGAACTGAAAGAAGATACATCTAATTTCCAACTTCTTCTTTTCGTTTTAGGTTATTATCGTGTCTTTACAAACGAATGCGAAGTTAAATTGCTGATTGAGTATGGTTTAAATTATTTGAAACAACAAGGAACATTATCCATCGTTTCCGATTATGTTAAGTTTGTACAAGATTCCAAATATCTGATTTCTCGTGAAAGATGTGAATTTATATCTCGTATATTAAATAATAACGTTACAGTAACCAGAAATAGCTCTAAAGTTGATTACGATGTTACAAAGTTAGGAACACGACAGCAACAAACACAAAAACGTCCAACAGCACTTGCAGCAACAACCACAGTGTCTTTGTCCACGTTGCCATCAACTAATTCATCACTCACACCAAAACAAGTTTTCTTATCAACAACAACGACGTCGTTATCACCAACTGCTGACAAGAGTATCTCTCGTTCACGTTCATCCTCTGCTGAACGCTGCCCATCTCCACCACTGAAGAAACAGACATATCGTAAATTGATGAAAAAGCAAGAGCAACTACTATCGTCAAAAACCCCGATCGAAAAAGCTGCTCCACCATCTTCCTTATATTCAACTCCAATAGCGAAATGTCTAAGAACTATGACGAATGGTACTACTACTACTACTACTATTTCGTTATCATCATCCACATTATCATCTCAACGTGTTCTCACTGCTACACAGTCAAGGAAAAACGAGCAATTAGTGTCAAAAAACGTAACCATTTATCGAAAGATGAAGATGATGATAATGATAAACCTGTCTTACGCATGTGAGTGTTTTGCTCTTTTTGAACGATGAGAACACTAATATTTGTTGTCTTTTTTCGTTTGCAGTTCTACTACGTCAGCCAATGCAAAAGCAGTCAAAGTTGCAAACGGTAGTGCGAGAAACAAACGTATGAAAAAATAAATATACTGAAAATTTTGATCTGTACATTTCATTCTTCTTATTATGATATTAAATTGGGTATCTACCCAAATCTAAATGTAAAAGTGAATAAAGACTGTTTGTTTTTTCCTGTTTCAACTAGAATTGGAATAGTAAAAGTCAGCAGTCTCGATTGGTTGTATTTTTTAAGATGTTCTTAATCAACCATCTTAGAAGACAAGCATGTCACTTCAGAATATTACAAGAAGTATATCTCAAGATAGATAGTTACGAATATCCTGTCATTTTCATTCCGAAGACCTGGTAGTCTTTATCACGATCATCCTGTCTTTGTCATTACGAATTTCCGGATCTTTTCATTCCGATCTTCAGTAAAAATTCCACTGTTCAACTACTAAAAATAAATTTAGGTTGTTAGATTTCGTTACGAATTCCTGGACAAACTTCATTCCGAACATCCTATTTTTTGTTGCATTTTATTGATTTTGTCATCGACAATTCCATTCCGAACACCCTGGCTTTTTTCTCATGTCCGGAGATCGTAACGGAAAAGTGAGACGAAACATCACTTTCCCATTGATGTCATGTCTCTTTTTTTTACTATTACAGACACTCATCACACTCAACCTTGCTCACACTCAAATCGCCACTGAATTGTGTCAAGAGATTGAAAGCTTTATCGAGAGAAATCGAAATAAGATGAAGAACAATTGTTGAACAATTATATTTGTATTAGAACTATAAAGTCTACTTTTCTCTGTTATTTTGTTCTAGAATAAAATTTGCAGTAAAGAGTGAAAGTTGCCCATAAGAAGTGGCACAGGAATTGCATGTGGATAAAAAGAAGACCAAAACTTCAATAGAAATACGATGGCTTGCAGTCAGTGAACATCGAGTCACTGTTGTAGCTTCTCGAGCAACACTACCACAAAGTGATCATAGAGTATTTATCCATTAGACTGGTGGATTGTCTATGGATGTAAAGATGGATGTGGGTGTGGGTGTGCAGTTAGAGAAGAATAACACCCACACCCCACCCAGAACGAATAAAATCTTTGATCATGATGAAAATAAGCAGCAAATGGATCTTTGTTAACAAAACTCAGTTTGATACTTGAGATCTGATAAAACAGTCTAATCGAAAATACGACAATGTTTGGTCATCAATTCTTTGTCAGACATTGTCTTTCATCTTCCATCATTTCAATCATGTGATTTTATTGATTCTTGATTTTCTGCACACTTCAGAGCGTTGAACATAATCATTGAAATTGATAATGAACGATTTTGGAGAATTGCAATCATCGAAAAAAATGATAAATGGAAAAGATTCGAAGATTATTTTCTCAAAATTGAACAATTTTCTATTCAATGAGAACGATAATGATCAGACAATAAACAAAATAAGATTGGAATTGAACAATTTTGATTCTTAGTTGCACAAAAAAGAGAATAATAGGAACAATTAAAATCAAACGAGAGTTTCTATGTCAACAAATAATAAAACGAGAACGAACATATTTATGTTAAACATCGATAATTCATTCATAAACAGCTACAAAACTATTTTTTGAAGTTATCTTGGATAAAAACAGCTGTAATGAAATTCATTTGATTGATTTAACTCATCATATAAAAATGTCTCAGATATTGTCTTGCCGAATATTATGTTTATTTTCATCGAACAATGAAGAGTCAATTTGAAATTGAGAAGAACTTCATATTATTCGAGTTCGATAGTCTTGAGAATGATCAAAACATGATCAAGAAAATGATTTTTAACAAAATTATAATTGTTTCTATCTTGTAATCGTATATATGGAAAACGCAGGCAACGCACGTACACCTTTTCAACTTTCAACGAATGTATCTAGAGAATGATAAGAGGGGAAGACTTGTAATTTTAAAAAAATATGTAAGTAAACAAATTCTATAATACTTGAAAGTTTGAGCCTCAGCTGTCTATCTGTTTGGATTTTATGAGTAAAATACTGGTCGGTAACGCACAGACAAAAAAGGTCCTCGGTTCTTGGTAGGTGCGAAAGAAGTGATAAACCCTGCAAATTACTCCATGTTAATGAATTGCATGGGAGAGGGTTTTGTAGCTAAAAGTCAGGGCTATCTTCTGGTAAAGAGAAAATATTGATATCTTCAAAAATGAATGAACTATTGACAAAACAGCAGATAACGCACAGACATTTTGGTAACGCACCGACATGAACTTTTTAACAAAAATCTTAGATATGAAATTTTATTTCGTATTTGGAATTATCTGTGTAGAACATCAAAGTAATGATGTTCATTTGTATTTGAAGCTGCCAGTACCGTTTTTATGTCTAATAATATGCCCGTTTTTGAAATATGACACGAGACAAAAGAGCTTTTTCAAGCCACTTTTGCACAAAAATACTGAATTTTGGCTGTTGACTACCATTTCTTCTCTCAATTATTAAAAAGAAATTGCATACATCGACGTAGAAAATACGAAAACCTACGTAAAAACTTTAAATGAATAAGATCGATTGTTTTGTGTCCGAGAATTTGAGCGCTCAACTTCAATCATGCTGGTTGAGCGTTAGCCGTTTTTCATGTATAGTTAACAGTACAAAAAAAAACCTTTTTCATATTTTCCCTTTCATAATTTGATGAAAATATGCAAATTGTAATTGAATTGTTTCTCTTTCATTTGTTGATCAATTGGCTGGAGAGTGTGAGTGTGAGTGATTGAAGATAAATAATCTACACCGATACCCACATCCCATACTCCACATTCACACCAACCCACACCCACACCCAGCTTGGTTTCTGCTCTTATATATTATGAATACACCCACATCCAAGAAAGAACAAAATCTCTTCATTAAAATACAAAAGAGAGCGGTTGAGGTAAGAATCAAAGTACGAATAAACTAATCAGTAATTTGAAATGGAGCACTACTGATAATTAAAACTAGTCTTTTAAAAAAAATATGGTTTAAATTGGATATCTTTGGCCTTCATCTCAAAAGTTAACACAGATAAAAATGAGTTACTTATTGATAGAGAATACTATGATTGGCCAGATATTTTTCTGTACAGTTAAACATACTATACAAATATTCTTTGTCAATTAAGAGATCATTTTTCACTTTCATCCGTAATTCTATATCGTAGACTAGAAGAAAAGAAAATAGTCGGTGGTAAAGCGCACGATAGATCAGTTTACAGCATAAATTCAAGACCAATAAAGCGTACACATTTTATTTTAGTTTATTCGATCTTGCACACATAAGGAATGAAAAATAACATGCTGCTGATATAAAAAGAGAATTTATACACGTCTTTGATATAGTCACTTTTGTTTATAGTTATTCATCATTAGACCATTGATGTATATATCGTTTCTCTCAGCAAAATCAGTCATGTGGTAATGATTATATCACTGATTTTTCTTATAATAAAGGCGGCTTTATCAATTTCAGCCAATCAACTTCGAATCGATAAAAAGAAATATTACGATATACCTGGAGGATAAGCATTGATGGCTCGACTATTTGCTACTAAACAATGTCTTAAGAATCTGAGGTGTGTTTGCCTTTTTGTAACAATTAACAGCTTGTTATTTATGAGTTATCCAAAAGTCGAACGAAGAAACGAAGAAACTTCTAGACAACTAGACATTTCCTATGCGGCCTTTCCATTTGCCAGACGAACAGAGCAAAATATTTTACGATATTTGAAGCAGAAGGAACAATTGATGAAGCAGTCCCCTTTTAAGATTGTACTTCGTAATACATTTCAAAAGCCACCAAACAAAACGTCCTTTTTAATTTACGAATACACAAGGCATCGTCAATTTTGTCTAAAACAAAATAGTGCATTGGTTTATGGATCGACTTGTCCCTTTCGAAATTGTGAATTTACTTGCAATTTTTCTTTGGTGCATAGAGCTGATGCTATACTAATTCTGTTTGGTAATTTGAATTATAAAAGGCTGTTCAATCTGAATCTACATCGAACTTCGAATCAAATATGGTTGCTATGGCACGATGAACCGGGTCCACCCTCATCGATCTACAATAAATTTTTATTCAACTGGACAGTTAGTTATCGTTTGGATTCAGAAGCTAGTGTTGCAGCTTATGGGATTACTCTTGTGAGAAATGAGCCCATAAATCAAATAGAATTCAGGAAATGAGTCAATGAAAATTACAAAAAAAAGACACAATGAAGCTCTTTGGTAGGTAACATTATTATATTGATAACTTTGTAGAAATCAATAGTATAACTTACTGTATTACTTCAGGTTCGTTAGTAACTGCAATCCAAAGAAACGTCTTGAGTATTATGGACAAATCAAAGAACATTTTCCTATCTCTGTTTTTGGAAAGTGTGTTGTCAATCAAACGAACGATTCTCAAACGTGTGCTCATCGTTCTCAGTGTGAACTTGAAAAACTCTCTAAGTCAAAGTTTTGCTTGGCCTTTGAATCGACTGCATTGAGACGCGATTATATCACTGAGAAGTTTTGGCGATCGTTATATCATGATGCGATACCTATTGTTCTTGGTTCAAGACATCGAAGCTATGAACAAGTTGCCCCACCTAATTCATTTATTTATGCAAAAGACTTTAGGGATCCTCAATCATTGGCTAAGCATTTAAATGATGTGGAAACAAATCAGAATGGGTATGAAAAGTATCATAAATGGAGAATTAGTTATGAAAGGGAATTTGTTTTTTAGTCAGTATAATAATTGAAATGATCAGTAACAAAAATAATTCTAAAGTCAGTTAATTTATTGAATGATCAGTAAAAAAATGAATGATCAGTAAATTAAATAATTGATCAGTAATTTATTTTAATTGTCAGTTATTAATTAGTTAATGTTATAAATTAATCAAAAGATCAGTAAATCCAATTTTTCAAC